GGACATTTGAATCGCTGAGCAGACCGGGGGGGGGGGTTCTGCTGCCTGTCAGGGGGAAAAGTTTCTGTCTCTCTCCCTCTCCTTAAGGGCTAAGATGCGACTGAGGTTATATCTACCGCACCTGCAGCTTTATCAGCCAAATTGGGCCCTGCTCTCCACAGCCGCACTGTCATCTCATATTTTCACTCTCCTCCATTTTTTGGCCTATTTCTTTATCTGCCTTCTGGTTTGTTTATTTATTTATCTGGCCACTTTCATGGGCTGATGTGTAGCTGGCATGTCTGCCCCTTCCTGTTCCTGCAAGGCCCCCTTTCCATGTGGTAGCTGCTCTGAGCTTGGAGATGCTGATATCTGGAGGGGGCGGGGGCATTCTTAGAGGGTGTGGCCTCATACCAAGTTGGGGGGGGGGGAGGTCACATGACACAGAGGACCTGAAGAGAGATCGAGCTGAGTGATGTGGACAGATACCCCAGCTTCTCACGCAATGTTGGACAATACATTTTATGTGAAATTGTCTGCTAATGTAACTTATGTTTTAGAAAAAGAGTGGACATTTTTCACCAAAAATAAAAACAAAATGGAGAAAGCCTACAATCCTGCTCTGGGTAAGCAATGGAAAGATGGATGGATGGATGGATATACATGAGTAGAGCTGATTATATAATATAAACTGAGGCCATGGAGAATATGCTGTGCACACCGTAAATTTACAGTCATATTTGCTTTACCAGCTGTCATAGTAGCTGATAAGTGTCTATACTGGGATGTAAATTTGTGAACTTGTTTGCTTCAGACAAGCATTCGTTTCAAATGTGCAGGTTTCCGTACCATAAGGATGCGACTGTGTGACGTGAAGTATAAACAGAGGTGAGTAGGTCAGATACACATTACATACATTGCGACAGAAACCTGTTATTTTCACATCATGGGGGGCATTTTTTCAGCCCCCACAAGAAGAAACTGAATTTTCTGAAAATCTGTGACTGCAATCAAAAACAAAAAAATGCCAAAAGTCTTGTATTTTGTTTGGTTACTTATGGTTAAGGTTAGGGCTGGGTTGGGGTTAAGGTTGTCATGTTGGGATTAGGATTTTGCCCGTAGAAATGAATGGGCGGTCCCCACAAAGACATGAGTATAGGTCTGTGTGTGTGTGCGCGCGCACAATCGGAGCCTATGGCATGACCTGAGGCATGCTGGGACACAAAGAGGACCGGGGGCCCTGCCTCATCACCCCCCTCCCCCCACCACTGCTCCGCTTCGTAATACTAATGGAGTCGCTACCTGGGGACACTAATTGTGTGTGACACCGCCGGAGGGACGGCGCGCCCTTGCTAATATCACACTTGCCTCGCTGACAACACGCCTGCAAGGATTAGCAGCAAACCCCAAATATCTGCCAAAACCATACGCCACTGGCATGAGGTTTCTGCTTAAAGCGGTAGCTACCCTCTGGGGGGGCACCGGACATGGAGCTGGGCAGCACAACAGCCCTGTCTGCCAGAACAGGAAACCACTGGTCAGTGGGGGCGCTGGTTCAGTGTTTAGGCCGCAAATCACACTTCTTAATCAACACAGAAAATCACGGGTATAACTGCAGATCATGACGACTTAAACACCGTTTATGACCATGACAGAGTGCTGTAATATCCTTACCAAGGCAGTATGGTTTAACCATGTTTGATGGTTTACACCTCAAGATAGTTGAAGGTGAGGAGGTTCTGATATGTTATACACCTGGCAGGAGGCTTAGGAAACACAACAGATCGGCAGCAGCTGAATGACGTTCGGAATGCTGAGCGACACTCAGAACGCTGAGCAAGGTTCGGAATGCTGAGTGACATTTTGGAATGCTGAGTGATGTTCGGAACGCTGAGCGACATTCAGAACGTCGAGTGATGTTTGGAATACTGAGCGACATTCTGAACACTGAGTGATATTTGGAACACTGAGCAACATTTAGGACGCTGAGTGATGTTCAGAATGCTGAGTGACATTCACAGCGCTGAGTGACATTTGGAACCCTGAGTGATATTCGCAGAGAATAATAATAATAATTTGTTCCAAATAATAAGGACCTTGCAAAATCCACAGGATATGAAATTAATGTGCCACTGGATTATTATCAATTATCATTTTTCTCATTACTTCGCCACGTTTTGCCACTATGCAGTAAATAAAAATAATATGGAAGCCATCTCTTTGTGGTATTGCTGCTGCGAGCACTGCAGTGGAGGCTCCAGACCAGCAGAACATTCACACCTGCTACCTCCTGAAACTCATATGTTTATATCTTGGCTGCTTAGCTTGTTTGTTACAGATTGACTCGATTTTGCCTATATGTAGTTCAGACAATGAATGGAGAACAGCATATACATTATAAATACATTAAATACACCTATACATTAAATTCTGATGGAGTGAGTTTCTTAAGGTTACAATAAGGCCCCTTCTGGGTTGATTCTTCTGTATCCTTAAGCATTACTCCACCTGCTGGCCTGGGAGTCAAAGGAGTCACCTGGGAAAGACAGGGAGTGGGAGGGCACAGTGGTCAGCTATCCGCAGGTCGACTGGAAGGTGAATGGAGTGCACGCCTCCTCTAAGAGGAAGTCACATCCGCGACAAAGGGCTATTGTTTAATTTGGGAGAGGGGGGCATTGATGGACAAAGTGAAGAATTCTGCATTCCACATTTTTCAGAACTGTAACTCAGGCATGGGACACTTCTGCCAGCTCCTGTACTTTAAATTCCAGATATCATTTTACAAAAATATATATTTTTTAATAATTGAGAAATATATTAAACATTATAACAAATAAATTAGTGTTAACTGAACAAAGCTCAGTGCATAACCTTTCCATATATATTTATCTCATATTTCACTTATCCTGTTTTTTTTTCAGGGGAATAAAAAATATAAATAATAAGCAATAATAATAACTCATACTTCCAGGTTCTTCATTTTTACTTTTAAATAGTGGAATATGAGACAGGCAGGTTGTGAGCAGAGCAGGAACCTGCCAGAATACGTTCACACACGCATAAAATGGAAGCTCGTCTGCAATCTTGCGGGGACTGGCATCTCCTGCGACCGCAGAGTGCCGGGAAGCCTGCAGCGGCGTTGCTGCTGCCTTATTTTGCGACGGCTCATTTTTCCCTCCTGCGCTGGCTCTTTCTGATCCACGGCTGGGTATTAAAACCCAGCCATGGGTAGTAATATTCAGGAAATGATTACCTCATTTTGTCAAAACATATACTATCAAGCCACAATAAAGAGGGAATCATGTCAGGACTGTCTGAAGCATTCCCGGGAACTGTCACAGAGCACGCCTTCTAAAGACTCATTCACGAAGATAATGCGATAATTTGATTTCTCAGATAAGTTCAGTGAAAATGCCCCAACCGGACATTTTGAAAAGCAAAATCCATTACTTCTCCCTAATTTATCCTGGCATAAATTAAAGGATTTCTGTAGGCCATTAACCTACCCATTAATATAGCTGAGATGAAGACAATTGAAACCTCGGGTTACAAATCATGGGATGAGGCTTTTCCTAAACGATATTTCATTTAATGGTGGGGGGTGGGGCACGGTGGGCCCTACAATTAATTTTTAAATTATCGTTGTCTTATGTTATCGCATAAACAGGGACAGGGAGACTTTACAGGAGACAATGGTGACAATCCTCTTAGGAACAAAAAAAATTAATAATAATAATTTACATTTCATCCATTCTGTTGTTTAAAGGAGATGTCAATGGTGGTTAGGTTACGTAGGCAAAACCGGGAGTCACATTGAAGCACAATGTTATTCTGCATTCATAGTCTAAGCTAAAATATAAAATTATAAACTTAAAATGAGTATATACTGTATATTGCAGGCCGCACTACACAGACGGTGCTCAAACATTTGCAGAGGAGACACTGCGTTCTTTCAGTCCTTAGGAGACGTTACAAACCCTCAGAGAATAGTGCAAGTACCGTACATGCAAATGAAAGCTCTCTTTACATAACAAACAGAACATATATCTATGGAATGATTTAAAAATATATATTTGAACTTCGATCCATATGAGGAATGGCACATTGTCCCTGGTGGGGAACAGGAGAGGCTAATTACGCAAAGTATTAATAAACAGGGGAAGTCTTTGACACTGGATGGATGGGGGGGTGGAACAGAGTTGTCCTTTTTGAAGTGGCCTCAAAGTGACACTGGCTAGACCGTGACACCAGGACTTCAGGTCAGCCAATCAGGTGAGGGGATTCTCTGGGCTTGCTCCGAAGCCCTGCAGATCTAAAGAAAGATCCGGAACTGGCGAAGCCAGACTGGGCCTTGATGCCAGGGGCGGTTTCTGCTCTCTCATCCCTGACAGGGAGGTCGGCTTTACCTGGCAGGAATGCGTGACCTTTAGAGGAGGGGGGAAAGGGCGTTCGTCCCAACCGGGGGGGCAGGAGAGCACTGAGGGGTCACAGATGAGCTAAAAGCATTTTGGGTAGGCCTTCCGTGCGTCCACGTGGATCCAACCTGTTCGTATCCATGTCACTCAAACCACCGGAGCGCAAACAAACAAAGAGTGGCTCCTATGAACCAGTCGCAGACTGCACTAGTATTCCAAAACGCCGCTTCCATGGCAGAACTAGCTCTGTAAACAGATAAATGGGAAATTGGAACAAGACTGAAGTTGCAGCTCTCTTTAAGCGTCTCTGGGTAAAGACGCCCATGAATCGGCGGAACACAAATTAAAGGGGCCCTGGGAAAGTTCCGGAAATAAAATTATGTTTTTACGAAGCGTAATGCGAGAGAGGTGATCCTTTCAGGACGGTGAGCAAAGATCTTGCGAGTAGGAGGAGCCGTTTTATTTGGGTCACGGATCAGAGGGGGTTAAACGGAAACAGCGGGGAACGCGGAAACAAAGAGGAGTGATTTTAAAGTGGATCAGAGGAGGGAGGACTTTAATAGGGGCAGTGGCAGGTAACGGGATGAGAGCGGGAGTCGGCTGGAGGGGGATTGCCAAGAACAGGCGAAAAACAAAAAGGACAGATTTACGGCGCAGGCGGAGGGCATGCATAATATCCTCCCGATCACATCAGCCCACAATAAAAACACAAGTCAAAATGGCAGGCTCAATGAAATTAATTAGGTTTAAAAGATTGCATACTTTGATAAAAACCAAAAAAGTTATCATCACTTTGATTATAAGACCTCATTATACACAGCCTTTTCTACAAACTTTGGCAGTACACAGTCTCTCACATTTCAGACATTTATTAAAAATAAATAGGATTTTTTTCCGACTGCCGGATACTTCACAAACTACTGGGTAAAAGAGGAAATGTGAGGTTAGCAACAGTAACCGTGGGGAGGTTAATGATGGCTGCTCCCCCTGCTTTTTCCAGTTTTATTTTTATCTTTTCTCAATAAAAGCCATGTGTAGAAATCTGTAGGCTTTTTTGCATGTGTTTAGAGCAGGAGAGCATCTTAGTGTAGCTGAAGCATCCAAACGTGAAACTGCACGTTAAAAAATAATCATAATAAACTACCACAGTGCCTGACACAATCGCGTTAAGCGTGGAATCATATTAAGCTTTTCAGCGACCATTTGCAAATGCGGCCTTTTTTTCTTTGTGGAGTTTGAAAAGGCAGTTTGCATTATGGACTCCCACATAAACAAATTCCCCGCTCAGGAAGGACCTCCAATGACATGGGACCTCTGTCAAGAAGAGATGAAATTAAGCGAAATAAAAATCATATTAAAAATTATTATCGTCTAACAGCCATTAGTCCGCTGCTTGCTGTCACCCCTTGATGGATATCTCACTTAGCTCAATGAATGTTCTAACAACGTTGATAAAATCACCGAGAGCACAATAAGGAGCAGCATTTGCACGCTGGTGAGGGCTGTGCATTGTGCACACAGGGCCAGCAGCACAAACCTCTCTCTTCAAATACATCTTTTTTCATACCTTTATTCTCTGTAGTGACTCCCTTCAGTTTTTTCTCATTTGTTTTATAACGCCAGTCGCTAAAATGCTGTCGGAAAGTGATTAGACAATTAAATAAAGCTGAAAATGGCAAATTATTGGCAGTGACTCGGAGCTACAACATGACAATTAAACCTTGTGACAACCGTTTGTATGTTTACAGTATAAGGCATGACGTCAATTCAGAATCATAAATGGAGCAATCCAGCTGTTTAGTTTTACTTCAGTCAATTGTCTACAACTGACTCCTAATTAATGAAAAACCTAATGAATAGATACTTCATTAATCCCGAAGGAAATCGCAAGTTGACAGTACACAGTACACACATAGCAAAAGACATTTCGACATTAATAGACAGTAATAATAGATAGTAAATGACAATAAACAGTAACGGTGCAAAGAATGTCAGGGAAAGTATTGCACAGAATTCCCTAATAACAACACAGAAATAAATACTATTGCATAGGGGACTGTACAGTGAATGAATGAATGTTCTGTGAACGTGAAGTATACCTAAACAGTAAAAAATTACAATACAATTCTACAGTAAATGTAGACTTGTTTATCGGTGTCTGTCATTTAAGGAGGCTGGATGCCATTTAAGGAGGCTGGAACAGTCAATCGACCAGGAGCTTTAGGTTAAAATTAATCCTGTTACTGTTTATTCAGAGAATCTGAAAAAGAAGCAAAAATAAAAACGCTATAAGGTACAAAACACGGGACAGTTTGGCGCCTTAAGCAGGCGTCTATCCCCGGATCATTCGGCAGCAGCACGCCCATCTCCATGACAGCCGCATCTGAGAGCCATGTTGCGTTTCAACTTCTGAGAACATGCAGCCGTGTTCCTCCCGGGGGCTGTTAACCTGCAGGCCCTCCTGTACACGTTTCAGCCAGTGAGCATCGAATTCAGCCATAGTACGCATTCAGACACCAGGTAGCATATGCCAACGCATCGACCCATATGCTAATAGCTATCCCCTTGGATTTTTAAAAAGTATACTCAGGGGCGGGGGGGGGGGGCGGGGGATCTCACTTCTGAAAATGAACGAAATGTTTAAGCAAAAGAATGTGGTTTTGTATAAAACACTTCAAGAGGAGGGTTGCATCGCGCTATATATACAGTCCTTGGCACACTGCAGGAGGCACGACGAGCCATGAATACAAACGGGGAGCTAGAGGCCGAAGACAGTGGGTTGGGGAGCCTTCTGCAGTCACTGACCATCCTGCTATTTCATCTTCTCTCAACTATTTTTCTAGTTCGGGGAAAACACTTTCTATCACTGTCAGGTAGGGCAAGGATAAAAAAAGCTGCTGGATTAGCTGCCTCTCTGCCTCACTGCCTCACTGCCTTCTCCGAGTAATGAAATACTGGAGTACACTGTGTCGGCCGCAGGTTCACTTGCTCTCATTTTGTAAGTAGTTATATGGGATTTATTCTGCCTGATAATTCCTTTTCTCGGCTCGCCGCTGACACCCAGAGAGCGAGGGGCCCTTCAGAAATGAGGGCCTGCGATAGGGGAGCCAGCGGTTGTCTG